TATATATATATATATATATTATGTTGATTCACTGTTAGTTTCGTTATTTAAATTCACTTTCAATTGTGTATAACAAAGGCTCACAGTGTGATCTAATTTTAATATCAAAGTAAAGACATTTTAAGGAAGCAGTGAAGCAAATCAATCCTTTCAGTTTAAAAGAGTCTCAATACTCTCGTAGCTTTGGTATCTTTAATGAAGAAACGATTCGAAGCTTCTTATTCACTCACTCATTCACTCTTCCTCTCTCTCTCTCTCTCTCTCTCTCTCTCTCTCTCTTTTTCTTCCTCTCTATTCATCTCTTTTAGTATAATGCCAGAGCAAACGCGACAGGAAGGCGGATCGCGTTGGAGAACCATTGTCTTCCGTCCTCTGGGCCGTCGCGTGGCATATTAATTAATCTGGTGATTATTAAACTAATTGCCAGCTTAATTGGTACGCCAGGAACCCATCTACTGTTCCGAACAGAGATAGAAAGTGAAGAAGGAAAAGTAAAAGAAGAGAGATGGAAGATGATCGAGTTTAAAAAGAAAGATAAAGACAGAATGAAAGAATGAAAAAGAGAGAGAGAGAGAGAGAGAGAGAGAGGGAGGAAAGAAAGAAATGGATTTTTTTACGAAAGTAAGCAAAATGTTTGTTTCCGGCATCTTCGAATTTGATGGAATAAAGAGTAGATGATAAAAGTAGAAGAAAAATTTGCTTAAGTAAATAGAACAAATCTATATTCTCTGGCAATTTGTTCTCTATATTTCAAGAAAAACAATTAATTATAAACGGTAGCCGACTTAACGATCTTTATCCTAGTTAAATTAACATCGCTTTGAGAATAAAGTATATTATATATATATATATATATATAACTTTTAATAAGCTGTATTTCTACTTTACCAGCCAAGGTATTAAGTTTAAAGTCGAATATGATCTACATCGAAATTTGCTTAAGTAACTTGAGCGAACGTGAATATGTAATTATAACGATTAACGAGAGCAGAATGAATACAGGAAATTGTGCAAGTAAATAACATATAGTGATATAATGTAAAAGAGTCGACAAAAAGGGTCGTAAAAACGAGAACGCTCTTTGTTTCGTTAATCCACGAATTTTGTTTTTTTTTTCTTTCCTTTTTTTTTGCCATTGTATTTCCTACGCGAGAAACACGAATAATTAGAATAATTTCGTTAGCATGTATACAAATATGCTAAAAAATATCAAATATGAATCATACTTCGTAGCATATATATATATATATATATATTTCGTGATGGATGAAATAAAAATAAATTAATTCGACGAACGCGCGATGATGATGAGTCAACATATATTTTTTTTTTTCTTTCTCTTCTTTCATTTTTTTTTTTTATTTTTTTTTACTCTGTTTGTTTGTTAAATCGTTATTATTATTATTATTATTATTATTATTGTTATTGTTATTGTTATTATTATTATTAGTAACAGCAGTAACGCGAAATAACAGAAAAATGTCGAACTGGAAAAAAAAGAAAAAAAAAACACTGTTCTATCGATTTTTGCATACTCGATAATATTCTTTTAGTTATTTTATCGCTAAATCGATAAAATAAATATCGTATAATGGTTAATCGGCACAAATCAAAAATATACACGTATTGTTCTCTCGTCTACTCTGCAATATTTGTTAGTCTTTTCAATTACGCTAATTGGGAAATAATTCGATTCGTAAATGTCTAACGTTGTAGGTATTAATACAAACGATAGCACGTTAGATTAGATGTAGATGATATCGCGTTCGCGTACGAACTATTATTTTTCTTATCGATCTCGATTGATTAGATCTAAATAACGAAATAATTTCGAAAGATTCAAACGAAAATCGTATTATATATTTTTAACCTATTTTATAGAATAAAATCACGAGAGTAAATAAACAATCCAACGTATTTAATATTCTCGAGTAATGTAACAAACAAATGATACTTGTAAAGGTAGGCTTATTAATTTATCAAAATGAATTTCCAAATATAATATACGTTCCCGTAGACCCTAAGGACTTTGTAACGAAACTAAAGCCGGAAAGGGTTGGACCCTATTGTATCGCAGTTAACTGTAGCTTGTACCAACACACAAAGGTCCTGAAAAGGCAACGAATTATTTAAAAAGTCTCGTTATTGTTCCGCGAAGCCTCTGGTCAAATTACCACCAAACCATAGGGAATTCAGTGTAGTATCATCGTAAGAATGGACCGTTGTACTAGTAAATGCGGCATCACGAAAGAAAGCTATTATAAAAGCCTCTTCACCTTCTATCCTTTTGTTTCGTCAAATCCTGCTGTCGGTTATTATCGAATCACAAAGTACGGAAGCATTTATAAACAGCAAAGTGGCGTTGGTTAATTATTACGTAGCAATTATTTCGCATCTCTCTTTCTATTCGGGAAGACACAAATACGACCGATTGGGATTAAAGCGTTGTATCAACTAGAAAGAATGAAATTACCTTCCTACCAATTTACACTTTTCTGAATGTATCTATATATACATATATACGTAGATACTCTAGTATGTATTTACTTGCTTATGTGAGTAAATACCAATTTACCATGGAACGTCACGAGACATCAGCTAGATCGTTTTTCACTTTTATAATCCTACAAAAATTGAGGGGGAAAACAAAAAAAATGTTTTCAGCCAAGAAATACCGAAGATATAATACTTAAGAAGGTAATAAATAATTCAACGAAGTTTCGACCAATATTCTTCTCGAATAATGAAGGTAAAAAAGAAATCTTTAGCATTCTATAGATTGTGGTATATAAAACTTTAGTTGGAAAGGTCTTAATGAATGTTTGCTACAACAACCACCTTTTTCAACCCTCGGACCAACCATTTCGTTCGTTCGTTCGTTCGGGCGTCGGTCTTTCCCTCTTTTGCATTTTATACTCCGTGTTACGCTTCGACTCGTTGAATACACGATTTCGACGGCGATAATTACACGTACGGTTGGTTAAACGAATATTTTTAATTACGACGATGTTTGCGGTAACTGCTGAGCGGCCGTTGGTGCACGATAAATATATACATTAATGTATTCTCCCTTTCGAACGATCGATCGGTAAATGACTTGCCAAGAATTTACATTATGTTTGACCCCATTTATTTATTTCCTTTTATTTTTTTTTTTTTTGCCCACCCCCCTCCCTCCCTCCCTCTTCTTCTTATTCCTTATTTTCATTCAATCTTCTAACAAATATTTCCATTCGAGATTGAGCTCGCTCGCTCACTCAATTTTATTCCAATCGAAACGTACGAATCTGCGACAGTCCAAATTAACAACGCATAAAATACAAGAAATGAGAAATAAATATTTTAACGTAAGGATTTTTTTTGTTTTGTTTTTGTTTATTCGAATACCAATTAATTGGAGATCACGATTGCGCATTTAAACAAATAGTGATTATATCGAAATTAAACAAAAAATTATCTTTACAATATATATTGTTACTTTGCTGGACAATTTTGCGTATAGGGTGGTAAAACAAGAATTGCAAAAGTAAAATTGATACCAATAAAAATATTAACGTTTTAAATCAAACAAACTTGTGTTTTACTTTTTATTTTTCGTTAATTGAAAATTTAACAGTTATTGTTAAAGCTATCCTATATAAAATCATAAATAATTAAAATATTTAGATGTTTCTTTTTTAAATGATTCAGCCTACATATTTTTAAAATGTTTATTGGTCAATGTTTAGTTTTTTCATTCGGTTATAGCACAGCTTAACACATAGAACTTTTGTACAACAAAGAATGGGAATAATCCATTCTCACGATTGAGGCCACATGCTTGAAAAAACAGTTCGAGTAGCTTTCGTTGAAATTCTGAAATCATAGAAAAACACGGGAACAATCGTTTACAAAATAACCTTATTTTCGTTTTCACATTTGAATTGGTCAAAGGGTTTTAACAAACGTTTAAAATATTTTAGTAAGAATTTTACTCCTATCGCTAGCTTTGTCAATTTAATGCAAACGTTTTTAAAAGATTTTACGATTATATTATAACAAATTAATAATGAAACATTTACGAAATAACAACGTAAAAGTGCTTACAACGTAGCAGATATGCTCTTGCACGTACTGCTTGTGTAGGATTCTCATTAACCTATTTGTTTAAAACCTTTTCATTTTTTTTTTCCTTTCCTACTTGTAAAGTATAGAAATAATTGCTATGTGTAAAAGGACATTTTCCAAGAAATTAAAAATATTATGTAAAATATTCTCTATCAGACTTAATAATCAAATTTCATATGTTCAAATAGGTCATTTTGTTGTTTTATTCCGTGATAAAAATAATCCAAAAATTAAATTTAATCAATAATTAGAATCGATTATCCTAATCGTTATCAGAATATAGATGAATTGTTTAAATCATAAACTTGATTCAAAAGATATGAGCAAGCAATTACGAAAGTGGTGGTGTATTATTTATTTGGAGATATTTTCGTATTTCAATTATTTACAAAATTATTTTTCTGTAACGATAAATAACAAAAAAAAAAAAAACGTATAGCGCAATATTTATTATATAAAAATAATAATTATATGAGTTATTTGTGAAATGAAAACTTTGAAAGGTCATACCGATATTGTCAATAAAAATAATATCAAAATGATCATTTAAATCTAACTTAAAAGTTATTACATTTTACCGAACGTCAAAATTGAACGGATTAAATATGAAAAATGTAAAAGATATGTTGATAAAAAAAACAGAGGTATTCATTGAAACATTTCGTATAATGTTTCGTACATATACGTTGAAATAAACGCACAAGGATTATCGTCGTAAACATCGTTTTATTAAAAGATTGGCTAGAATAACGATCGTTCGAATCGTTGTACCGCGTGTTATTGAAAGCATTTTCACAAGGTAAGTGGTGAACAGATTCAGCTATATTTTTAACGCACAAATGGATCATAATTCTTGCATGTTATCGATTATTTCAGGACAGGAACCGAAAATAGTGAGACTGGACGTGCCGGATATTGTGGACCCAAGATGGGAAAACGTCACCTTGCGATGCGAGTACGATTTAGGTGGGAAAGAACTTTACTCGGTTAAATGGTTCAAGGATGGAATTGAATTCTTCAGATTTATGCCGAGTTCGAGACCGGTTGGTGAATATTTTCCCGTCGAAGGTATCATCGTTGATATTGCTCGGAGCGATGGGCGACAAGTGACGCTACTGGGACAATCCAATGATCGCAGAAGTATGTTATCGAATTATATTAACAAGAGACGATAATATTTTTCTATAATTTAGTTCCCTTTATTAGAAAATATTCAATGAAAATAGAGAAAACGTGTTTGTATTTTTTTTTTTATTTTTTTTATCCCTTATACTTTGATTTTATAAAAATTCATTCATATTTAAATCGATCAGTAATATTCACGTAAACCCTTTATAACGCATTCTTTTATCACGAACCTAACGTAGGTGAAAATAAAATGAAAATACAAAAAAAAAAAAAAACAAATAAAAAGAAAAGCATTGACACGCGTTAGAGATTAAAAATATTTAACGAATTTGTTTTAAAATTCTCGACAGAAAGAATAAATCTTGGCGGATCGTATGGTTGCGAGGTGTCATCAGAGGCACCGAGTTTTCGTATAACGTATGCCGAAGCAAATATGAGCGTCGCAGTGTTACCGAAAAGTCCGCCTGCTCTTGACGGGCTTCGACCTTATTATGAGATTGGCGAGATCCTGGAAGCAGCGTGCACATCTGCATTGAGTTACCCACCACCAGTGCTAACCTTTATTCTCAACGGCAAAGAGGTGAGTCAAGTATGGTTAACGTTCAAAGAAAGCATGTCACGTGACAAGAGAGAGCGAGAGAGAGAGAGAGAGAGAGAGAGAGAAAGAAGGAAAGGGAACAAGCTTTAGAAAAACGCGAAATTATGCGCGGTTATGCGTTTATGTGTGTTAGGGGGGCAATCTAGTTACGCTCCAAAAAATATTCGATCGTTTAAAAGCTCGAAAAATATGAGTGAAAATTTCGCGAATGTATTCGTTTTCTTTGTTCCTTTCGAGGGGGAAAAAATAACAAAAAAAAATGTTCGTACTTCGAAGAAGGTAGAGGAAAATCTTTTTTTGGGGGGGTTTTTTTTTTTCTTTCTTTGTTTTTTTACATACAAGCTAGATTTAAACTTAACCCTCTTATCGCTTGACAAATAACTATATATATATCCTTTTGGTCTATTCGCGAATACAAGATACGATTTTTCATGTTACGCTTTAAGCACCGCAATTGCCTTTGGCGTATTGCCAAAGTACCTAAATCTAACGTGATTTGTGCACAATCGCAATTTCCATTGCACCCGTCCAACGGCATACTTTACTACTGTACATCTATATGCTCTCGTAACAATGTCATAAATTTTCACTTGACCGAGCCCCTTCACAACCGCAACATTGATATTCTGAATATATTTACAATCGTTCGTTCACGATCGAACTCCCTTCACCCTTTTGTATTAATCGAGTAAAAAATTAACGAGACCGACCGAGGATTATTATTATATCAATCGATCGATCCTTATCGTTTTAATGGTTTTTCAATCTTTCATCAAGATACCTAACCCGATTCGTAATCCATACAAATTTATATTTAACATTTTTCTTTTTCTTGTCAATTAATATTTCTTTCCTCTTCTCTTTTTTCTTTTTTCTCATTATATTTCTCTATGTTCAATTATGTAATTTTGATCTCGACAACAGGTAGACAAAGCGATAACGAAGGAAATACCAACAGATGGATACATCGAAGAAAATTTGATATCAACGTCCCGATTGGGTTTCTCTTTGCGTTTGGAACGGCAACACTTTCCCGGAGGAACTCTCCACTTGGTCTGTCAATCTTCTTTACCGGATATACCGAACGTACCACCATTCAAGACGGAAAAAACTGCCACGTTAGCGGCGAGTAATCAAAGACTCGCTCAAGAAGCCCCGAAGTCGGGATCCAGTTCAATCCTCGTCCCTTCCTTTACAATGCTATTGTGCTTCTTACGAGTTAGTTGGAATTAGCTTGATTGTACTCGATGGAGATCGATTGATGATCATCGAGTTTACCACAGATTGCGAAATTCAACATTGAAAAATCTTTATCTCTCTCTCTCTC